TAGCTGAATCAATGCATACATAAATGATTACTAGAAACATTATAGGATTAGCCAGAGTTCCTCCTTGGGGAAAACTTTATATATGCACAAACCCATGCCAAACACTCACTCGTTCACTCAGATGGCCCTTGGAATTTACCCAGGAAGGGGCCTTTCTAGGATTAGTTCAGGACCATTGCCATTGGCTGTAATGGTAAACTGGCCTTCTTTCCAGCCCACCTGGAAAGACTCAATTTTCTGTCTTCTCTAAATCATTCAAATCACAGCTTCTTAAGGAGGTCTTTGTCTTGGCATTTCTGTTTCCTTTCTTAACTAATTGTCTTTCTTTAAGTGAAAGTTTGCATTCATACAAACTGTCTTTGGAGATGAAGGATGAATTAACCAATCTGAGCCTCCTAGAAGAAGTTATGTAGAGCAGGAGGATCCAGAGCACAGGGACCAGGCTTTCTTTGGTGCCTTGTGTGGTGTTGTTGACCTCCTGGACTTTTGGTAATTCTCATTTGGGATTGCTGTTGCTGGTAAAGACTTAGGGTACATAGCTGTGGGTCTAGCTTCTTTCTGCTCTCTATGGGAAATCCTATCATGAATTCACAAATGTCTCCTCTGCTCTTAAAAAGAAAAGAAATTTCCTTATAGAAGAGTGAACTATGCTCTTTTTCAATTTAGTTCTGGATTCTGATAGAATCTTGGCTGTTTAAGACTGAAGGTGCAGGGGCGGGGTGTAGCCCAGTGGTAGAAAGCATGAGACCCTCAGTTTAATCCCCAGCACTACAAAAACAATGAAATACTTCTTAAAATGCATTTAATGTTGTTACTTTAAAAACTGAATGGAGCAGAATGAAATAATACTTGATATGTAGATTTCTAAAACTTCATTATAACAGAAAGTTAATTTGTAGATCATACACAGATTAATAGCATACCTTATAATCTATAGAATTCTTATAATATTCTATTAGAATTTTCCCATCTGCTTAAAGGAGTTTTCAAAGTATATAATTTCTATTTTTTAAGTTTCTGAATTTTACACACATATACAGTCATATGTATTTTTACTGCTAAAATAACAATTCCCTAGCTATTTTGTTTCATTAAGCATGTATTTAGAAAGTTTAGGGACATTTTCTAAATGTTCGTTTGACTTTGTAGCCTCTCATATTTTCTTAAAATTCTGACTCTAAACTTAACTCAAACCTAGATACCTAGATTGTAAGTTCAAGTAATAGATGAGTGGTCATGTTTCAATGAGAAAGAAAGTAATATTGAGAGATTTTTTCTAGCAAAAGATTCAGTTCAAGAAGTATTTGTTGAAAAGCATCTTTCTGCATAGTACTCATCAAGATGTTTCCATAAATTCCATAGAAGTTGTATATTGCATAATCACTGCAAAACAGAAGAAGAATCCCTAAATATGTCTTTGTGGGGGATTTGTGGCTTACAATATTATATTGCTTACACTAAATCCTAAGTGTTAACTCAGGTACTGAAAGTTCAGGACAGGATAGAGCTCCTTTCCATGACATTAGTGGTAGCTATTAAGGCAGAAATGAGAGGTCAATTTTCATATGCAAGGTAGGTTTGTTGTTCTTTATTGACTATTTAATTAAGGAAGGTGATGTTTTGGGCATAGTTTATATATTCATAAGAGCCTTAGAATAACACGTATTTGGGAGACAAGGGAGAAAGGAGGTGAAGTGAGGGCAAGTCTTATCCAAGTTAAGCTTTTGTAAAGACTTTTTGCAAAGGGGCCTGGATACTGCAAATTTGTGTCATATTAAAAGTCACTGCTAGTGGGGTGTGGTGCCACACGCCTGTAATCCCAGCACTCAGGAGGCTGAGGCAGGAGTATTGCCATGAGCTCGAGGCCAGCCTGGGCTACATAGTGAGTTCAGGGCCAACCTGAACTACAAAGGGAGACCCTGGCTCAAAAAATCGAAATACCAAAAAAAAAAAAAAAGTCACTGCTACTGTTGATGTCTGTTCAGATATGAGGTCCAACAAAAGTGGCTTCCAAATTTGATCACCCTAGATAAGTTTCTTATTTTCAATCTTGGTTCATCTGATAAAACATTCCAAGTTTAACTTATGATGTGCCCATTCATTTTTCAGTTTACTCCTTCAGGAAGAGAGACATAACAAGAAAAAGAGAGTTGGGCATACGCCCTAAAACATTTGCTATTTTCCCCTTTTTACCTTGCATTTTTGTACTATGTACTATGCTTGAACATTCCAATTTCTGGAAGCATTCCTTGTGAGTCCTAGAAGTCTTTTGTGTAGTTAATTAAGTGTTCTGCAGATAATACATATTGTGGGGGAAAGGAAAAGACCAGTGCTGGGCTGTTGGTGGAGGTGAAACCTGAACTGTCCCTTGGAAAAAGGTAGAAATTACTGAAGCAGAAGAGTAAAAAGAATATGCTAGGGCTCTGGCATAGCATGAGAGTGAGAGAGACTGGGCATACAGTGTATTGGGAGAATCAGTAGTATGGAGTAAAGGGTGTTGGATATTCCTCTGTACTGCAACTAGACTCTCAAAAATCCTCTGTGACTTCTGTCAGTCTGCAGGAGATTAAAACTTCCCATTCATGATGAAATCCATATTTTAAGTGAAGAAATAAACTGAAGCTGACTGGTTTTGCTAGAGGTAGAGAGAAGGCTACAGCAGCAAAAGCAGATTTCAACTGTTAATCACCTGTGGCATAGTAGTTAACTTAGAATAATATTGAAATGTTTTTCCATGTGACATTCTCCACAAACCTGTCTCCTTTTATGTGTATGCATGCCAGTATATAAATTGCTGAATCCATGTCAGCTGTAAAGTAATGGCACTGAGGGCATCATAAATTACCATGGTGATCCTCAGGAGAAGACACTGTTGTGTCTGAATAAGTGTTTCACTTCCAGAGTAATGTATGCCTTCATCTCACCCAGCAGTCAGCATATTGCCCTGTGTTGATGGATATTGTCAGCTGGAAGCTACACTACATTTCACTGCACAATAAACATGGCTGTCAAACCCATATAAAGTGAAATCAATTTATCCTGTATGGTCAGTGCATTTTAAATGAAATTAATGTACTGTGGGTATGGTGGCAAAAAGGTAACGTATTAGTTATGCATCTTGGGATCTGAGACTTCTCATGTGAGGCATCGTTCTGTCTAGAAGGCCTAAAAGAAAGGCTGTTTATGAAATATGTTATTTTTGCATGGTCTTCAGAAAGTGCTTTCTCTGCCCATCTTCATGTTTTGGGAAAAAAACACAATATTCGTTAATTCCATCCTTTTATTCTGTCATTATATGGCAATAAATAATGACCATATTTGCCAAATAATGGTGTGCTTTAATGTTCTAATTTATTACTGGCTTTGACACCAACAAATTTCTTTGTAATCAAGGTATCTGGAAATAGAATAGAAGGGCCAGAGATTGATTGGGTCATGCCATTCTTTTATTACTTCACTGAGCTGAAAGGATTTACTTTGTCCAGAAAATAGAAATGTTGGCTTTAATGTACATTTTGCTTCTAAACTTCTGGAGGTAGGTTTTCTTTGTGCACTAGAAGCATTGGTTGAGGCCATCAGTTAAATCACTTCACATCTTACTGTAGAAATTTTCAATCTATAGGAAAATATTTGGTAGTTGCCACATCGCAAAGCATACGTCGCTGTGTCACACTGAGGAGGCCATGAAAACAAGGAAAGACTACATTCATTTATTCACTAAATACATTTTTATAATTAAAATTCCATGTGCCAGATACTTCCCTGGATCCAAGGAATTCAGCAGTGAATGAGACTCAGCCCCTGCTCTGTCTTCAAAGAGCTTTCAATCTACTATGTTACTAGATCAGAAATAGTTTCATAGGGGTTAAAGAAAATCTCTTACACAACTGAAAAATGTGTCAAGACCCTTGAGATGAATACCTCTTAGTCTACTACTTTTGTGTAGGGGTTGAAAATCAAATAATCTTTTACTTAATGTATATTTAGTATGTATTCTGTGGGACGTCTTGAGCATTCAAAGATGAGTCCAAGACAGTGTCTAACTTTAGGGATCGCATATTCCTGGGGATGGAGAAAGATCGGAAGGAGATAGTCACATAAACAATAATTATGCCGGGGCACAGAACCTGAAGAAAATGGGGAGCTTGGGGAGCATCATTGCAAATGCTGTTCTTTTAGGCCATACAGCTTTCCCATCTGTCTTTACTCCCCTCTCCTACTCACTAGCTGATTCCCGTTCATCCTTTGAGATTCAGGTGGGACATCACATCTCCTAGGAAGCATTTGGTTGACCATCCTGTCTGGTGTCTCTTGGCACCCTGGTAACTTCAGTACTGTGACTTTGTTACAGTGGTCTGTCTCCTTCCTGAAAGATGAGTTCTCTTGGGCCTTTGTATCCTAGCACCAGATGACAGACCTAGGCTCATAGTAATTGCTCAGCTAAAATGTTTCATTGAATTAATAATTCATTCACAAAACATGCCAACATTTGAGTAGGACTTGAAGGATTAGTAGGACTTAATAAGTCTCAGGAGAAGAGTCTTCCTAGCCATACAAAGAGGACAGGCCAAGTCACAATATTGTGAAAAAGAATTCTGTTTGGGGGAAATGTATGATTTGAAGTACCGGTGTGTTTTTGGCAGATACAGCTAAAATGACAGGTAAGAGCCTGCTTTTGAGGGAAGGAATCACAGCAGGAAAGTTTACCATAAAATAATACCAGTCATTGCTTTATCACCAGCTAGAATTTATTGTTGTAAATGCAGTAGGTGTATAAAGACATGCAACACTAATTCTGCCCAGTGTCTTGTTGAAGGCTACATCAGAAAGGATGTAGAGTTGTCACCTGCAACTGTCTTCTGCTTTTAAAAGTTCACTTAGAAAAAAAGAGAGGGACCTAGGGAAAGCAGCAGAACCTGGTGGAACCTGGCGGCAAGCTCTTACATTATCCACATAATAATGCTTTACACCGTCTTGTTCTTCCTGCCCTGACATTACAGGAAGTAAAGCAATGAATGGCTCTGCAGCTAAACTACAGCAGTATTATTGTTGGCCAACAGGAGGTGCCACTGTGGCTGAAGCTCGAGTCTACAGGGATGCCCGAGGCCGGGCCAGCAGTGAGCCACACATCAAGAGACCAATGAATGCATTCATGGTTTGGGCGAAGGACGAGAGGAGGAAAATCCTTCAGGCCTTCCCTGACATGCACAACTCCAACATTAGTAAAATATTAGGTGAGTTCAGTTGGCGCAACTGATGCTGACCTTTTCCCCTAGAGAGCTTCAAGAGTGGAAAGCAAGGGCGGGGCCACTGTGCTTGACAGAAGTTTGATAAAGCCCCACTGGCTGCCTTTGTCATCAGCCCTCCCTGCACCTCACAGTTCTACCATTAGGGTTAGGGGCTACTGCATCTACCAGGGAAGGTGCTTCAAAACTGATTTTAGAGACAAACAATTGGCAGAGCAAGACTGCGTAAAAACTGATTCTAGAGGCAAACCATAGTAATGTGTTAATATTGTGAATTTAGCAACTCTTAAGAGGTCACTGCTCAACAGCCATCATGGGAGGAAGCTTTATCACCTTTTTTTTAGTTAGTCTTTTTAAATTTGTAAGTTGCAGGCCAGCCGGGGATTTAGCTCAGTGGTGCCACACCTGCCTCCTAAGCACAAGGTCCTGAGTTCCATCCCCGGTACTGAAAAAAAAAAATTGTAAGTTGCTACACAGTCTTGGAAACACTCACTGCCCTCACAGTTTTCTGATCTAGAATTCTTGGGTTCATACGTACTACTCAAAGAATAATTCATCAAGGACTAGGGGTAAACCCAAAAATGGTGTGAAATTCATGAAGTGCAAAACAGTGCCTCTAATGATAACTTTAAAACTTGTGAAATAAAGCTACATTTTCTTTAAGGAGATATGACTAGTTCAAATTTCACAGCAGTGCATTGAACACAGACCACAGGGCAGAGGCCCATTTTGTGGTAAATTGCCAGTGATTCTCTAGTTTCTCAGCATTAAATTCAAGCCTTGTTCTATTAGCGTAAAGCTTGCCTAGTGCAGATTATACAGTTTGGAATTATTGTGTTCAACATATTGAACATATTTTATCCAACATGCAGCATTACAGTCAACATGTTTCCTCTTTAAAAAGAAAAAACACAGAAGGCACTGTTCTATTTAAGCTGTCGTGATGTGACAAAGTCTCAAAGGGAGCTGTTTAAGAAGCTGAAAAACATTAGAGACTTAAACTGTGGTTTTAATTTTTTAAATGTTTTGTTCAAAAGCAATAAATATTTAACCTGAGTAAATATCAGTGATCTGGACACACACAAATACACATGTTTTGTCACTATATAAATAATTTAACTTGATTTTGAGACATTTCTGAAGCAGTGACCTCTAAGAAAATTTAAAGCATACATAGAATCAAATAGTGGTAAAATGTTAAAATGCAGTTTTTCCTTTCTTTTTTCATTTTGACTTTTGAATTTCAAAATGGATACTAAGTGTTCTTATAATTAGGTGGAGTTTTATTTTTGGAGTTTCAGAGATTTGCATAGGGATTTTTAAAAATTTTAAATACCATTTAAATCAAGATGTTCCTAATGGACAGATCGTATTTGTTTCAAATTAAAAGACATTCTAAAAAAATCAATGCTATTCTGGCCTTATAATTTGATATGTAACTTTGCTATTTTCATATTTGTGTCCTGCCAGTTTAGTAGCCATGTAAGCATTCAGAAGGGCACAGACCCCTCTGTTTCCCTTTTGGCAGCTATGGAGAATCTATATTATTGGTGTGCAATCCATGAAAAAACTATTAGAAATATAGTAAGTATATTCATTAAAATGTAACCTTTAAAGCCCAAGCATTTCAGGAATACTAAGAATCCTCTGTTACTTTAGGCTTTAAGCTTCTGGGAGCCAGCAGAACACAGAGAAACCTATCTGCATAGCTATTCCACACAACTTTTGCACAACAATCAGGAAGAGCAGGGATGGATGTGCTATTAAGGCAGACCAGGATATTGCTGGCTATGTAGAATATTTGTATAACTTTTCCATTTGTTTATGTATGAAAAATCTCCACTGAAGAATAGCTAACATCCAGTCTGCACAGCTGTTACTGCTTTATTCACCAGCGAGACACAAAAATGCAATTTGATACATGTAAAAAAACACATCCCTTCTTCATCAAGTGTTTAGATCATTCTTTATAAACAATATTAGAGAAGTGAATACTTTTCCTTCTTCCTGTGTAAACCATATTAAAGATTTTTGTGCTTGTATCGGTACAGCTTTGAATGGGAGTTTATAGTACTTGAAAATGGTATATATAATTCCAACTGTACCTTCCGCTTCTAAAGATGACTTCTTAAGTCGAGTTTAGTTTTTTTAATTACCCTGGGCCAGGGAAGATGGTGTGGGCAGTAGATTTTTACGTGTGGAAGGATATCAACATCTGCTGATACCTTATCAGAGGTCAGCTTTGCTAAAGGTGCTTGGAGAGGGAAAATGATTGAATTTCTGGAACCATCAGAGCTTTTCCTGAGAATCCTGTCATTCTCATAAGTATGCTTAGGAAGTTTAGGCTTTGAACTCTTTTGAAAGGGAGAAGCAGATGAACAGGGAAATACCTTAGTGTAGGAGATGGTCATTTTGTAGCAGAGATACATTTTGAAAAAACGTAACATCATCAGCCTTAAATTACTGAGAGAAATAATACAATAACTGCATCATACACAGAATTATTTTTGCTCTGTTGTCTAAAAAACTGGTTGGGAGGTTCAGTGGTATGTGACAATGGAAGCTGGCCAGAGTCAAGGTGAATAAAGTGCTGGGGAGGTACATCTAGTTGTAACTCTAGTTGTATCTACTGAAATATATTGCCTTGACCACTTAGATACTTAAGGCTATTTTTATGTCCAGGATCTCGCTGGAAATCCATGTCGAACCAGGAGAAGCAGCCTTATTATGAAGAGCAGGCCCGGCTAAGCAAGATCCACTTAGAGAAGTATCCAAACTATAAATACAAACCCCGGCCGAAACGCACCTGCATTGTTGATGGCAAAAAGCTCCGGATCGGGGAGTATAAGCAACTGATGCGGTCTCGGCGACAAGAAATGAGGCAGTTCTTTACTGTGGGGTATGTATTCCTGGACAGAGCCAACTGGGGCTTTCCAGTCCCAGGAAAAAAACCACAGGTGGCTCCTGGCAGTACCTTTGGGAGAGAGATTAGAGAGGGAGGAGGCTGTGACATGCTGGAAGGGCTTGGCTGTGGAATCCTCAGAAGTTGCAGCCTTGGAGATGTGGTGGCTCCTACTGTGCAGGACAAAGCCGCACAGCTCATTCCCAACTGATTGCATCTTCCACCGTCCTCCTCGATAATGTAAGATACTCAGTGCCCACACACAGAGTTGCTGGTAGTTTATTTAGATAGACACACAGCAGGGGAAAACTGACTTTAAGAAATCCCCAGAAGCTTCCCAGCTTCTCTGGGTGGTGCTTGATTCTAATCACAATAGTCTGCTTTTGTTGTGGGATCTACCACAAGATAATTGGCCTTGACATTGGTTAGAAGACCTTATTTTTGGCATAAGATCCAGAACTCCTGTTGCAGTAAATTATTCTGTGGTGGAAGCAGTAACAATGTGGATTTTCTTGCTTAAATCAGAAACTAGACATGTTTTTGATATCTTCAAGTCTGATTTCATGTCATTTTGTTTAAAAATTAGGTAATAGATTTCTGGTATAAATTTCCACTTGGCTGACTGGCTGTCTGCATTCAAAAGAGGCCCCTCCTAACCACAGTAGTCAGGATAAGTGGGGATGCAGATGCCTGTAGATTCCAACACACCCAGACCTAGCAGCACAGGGGGGTGGAAACCACCAGGCCATTCTGGAGGCACCAGCAGAAGCAGCTGGAATCAGAGGGGGAGACACTTGGGAAAGGCTAGCAAAAGAGAAGCAGAGTAAGCGAAAATGAAGCCACGTTTGCTTTTAACATGGAGGAGGGCGGAGGAGCTGTGCTTTGCCAGGGAGTATGAAAGCTTCACTTATGGGTAGAAGAAGATAGGCCCTAAAGGGGGAGTAAAAAGCTGCTTATTATGCTTACAGGTGCTCAAAAGATAACTCTGTGGAACAAAAAAGGTTTCAGAAGTGTGTGTTTCAAAGAATAAAATTAATTTGAAATAGTAAATAGAATACAAAATGCAGCAAACCAATGAAAGTAGTCTGAGCCCTGGGGTCTCTGGGAGGAGCATGGGTTTTGGAGTTTGACTGCTGAGGTTCAGATACTGGCCTGGACACCTACTTGGCCAAGTTTTTTAACTTCCCTAAGCTTCTGTTTTCTCATGCGAGAAATGAAATGAATAATACCTCCTATCTTGTATGATTGTTATGAAGATTCAATGAGGCAATGCTTCAAAAAATATTTTACATAGTGCTTAGTTCAAAATCCAAAAAGGTGAATTCTAGCATTGCCATTTCTATTTAATATGTATTTACTATCACAGTAACACTATATTTCACATCATGTTAGATACATATTAATGAATTTCTTGATACTATGGCTGAACCTTTTAGGGATAAAGAGAGGCTTAAGCCACTTTATTATTTGAAGATCCCAATATGTTAATAAATGAAAGCATGCTAAAATAGGAATACCACTTGCTCTGTATTTTAATGAATGCATTTTAAAAATACTTTTAACACAAAAATATAATTGGGTTATTACATGTTAATTAGAAGATTTATTAAAAATACCAATTCAGAGTGCCCTTTTGGTAGGAAGAATAAAAGATTGGAATCACGATCTGGGCTTTCATCATCCCAAGCAACAAAGGAATTGTCTTCACTGTGTTTTCTCAAAATATGCCCTGCTGTCTATTCTAGCATAGTCATGAGTATAGTTGGACCATTTGAGCAAGAGAACTCGGAGATAATTAGGTATATTGTTGTGGTATGTGGTACATAAAGGAATTTCGAATTTTAGAGACCAGGGATGCTGTTCCTCATAGAGTAGAAGAGCCCGTTACGGAAGAATCACTGTATAGTGTGGAATGGGGCTACAGAAGTACAGGTAATGAGCAGAATGCCTTATTCTTTATTCTTCAGTGTTGAGGATTTTCCTCTGCCCTGTTTTGATAATACTTGCTACATAAAGCCAGGTGTTATTTCCACTTGTGGATTTATATTTTCTTTAAGTAGTTATATTAGATAGATTATTAACTCTCTGAGGTTCATCTTTGGAAATTGATCTTCATTAGATGTGAGGTTATGGCAAGAGAAACAGGGAGAAAAAACAAACAAAAAATTCAAAGGTTACCATTGACTTCTTGATGGAATGGGAGAGAGATCAATTTTTATAGCTGATTTTGAAAGACATGCATAACTTTAAAGCCAATAAAACTGTGTATTACTCAACATTTTTGTGCATTTTACTGACTACACAACTGTAGCTGATGAGTTAGATTTTTTTACTCAGCTGTTATGAAATGAATTTGTCAATATGGAATAGCATACAATTAGCTTGTAACTTGGATTTAACCCCTTCAATTGGCAGATTAAGTATCAGAATTCTGTAACAATCCTAATAAGAATACTATCAATATAGAAATTATATTTATTGGGATGCATGTACCTACAATGATGTCTTTTCCTAAAGAATTATGGACAAATATTTTGCCTTTTTTTGAAACTCATTCAGTAATTTACCTGTGAACCAAAATAAAATTATCCTGGTACTTGAAAGTATTAAATTTAAGGCTATTTTAAGACAATAATGGCAGGTTATTGAATATTTACTGTATGCTATGTACTGTGCTGAGTGAGTTATACAGATAATTGTAAATACATCAAATTTAGATGATAGACAATATCTTCCCCATTATAGGGTTGGGAAAAAATGTTCAGAGATATTAAGTAATTTGTCTAAGGCCACACAGCTAATAAGGAAATGGCAGAACTCAGAGTGAATGTGATACATATGTCCTTTCTACCATTTTACCTACCTCTCATTTATAGCCTACAAAGTGCTTAGAGGCTGTAGAGTATAGTGGTTAAAGGTGTCAGTTCTAGAGCCAGACTGTTCTGGCTCAAATACTAGCTTTGCTCCTTTTTTGATATAGGAACTAATACACATCAGTCTTTATTCCTCTGAACCCTCCATTTGCCATTGGGAAACTTACTTAAGCTTTCTGCACCTTAGTTTTCTTATATGTAGAGTGACAATAACAATGACAATGACAGTAAAACCAACAACAAAAGTCCCTTCTGAAGAATGAATAACTTAATGTGGAAAGTGCTTAGAACAAGTGCCTGACACATGGTAAGCCCAAAATTAAAGTAAATATTATTCTAGAAAAATAATGCTATGTGCCGACTGTATATTTCTTATTATAAGAATTACTTTTCTAGGCTTTATACTATAAATGATTCGAACATTTGCCATTTTGATCTTAATCCCAAAGGGATTGAATCAAGCCTGTAAAATACTTACAAATGTAACTGAATGACATAAACTAGCTATATTGTTTTCAGTATTGTGCTCCTGAAAGGAAGCTGGATTATAACCCCTCCAGTAAAGTAAGCAGACTGTCATTATTTCCATTCCTTCCAGCAATATCAGCTGCAGAGATGTGTAAACATACAGCCTATCTTCTCATGCAACAAACTGCTGCGTTGCCTTCATTTATACAATCTATAAGGGTCTTATGGGTTAGCAAACAATGGGGCTTTACCAATGCAAATATGCAGTCCCTTTGCAAAGGTGAGTTTGGAAACATGCCACAGTGCTGAGCCCTCTCAAGGCCAGCTGATAACTCTTGTCCTGGGAGGGAGGGTCCTTGGCCATCTCTGTTGAGATCAGTTGCATGCATACAGTTTTACAAACATCTACAACTTTTCTTTTGATGTATACATTCATTATTTTCAAGACCTAATACCTGCCAGCTACTCCTATTTGTGAAATCTGCAGTGTTTGAATTTTGACTCTGAAATTGATCTGTAAAGGAAGGAAAAATGCTTTTTAGGAAAGTAATTCCTGATAGACAAAACTTGAGCCTGCTGTCTGGATTTTTCACTTTGTTCATTGATTAGCCAGTCAATTGGTAAGGGCCTATTTGAAACCAGCTGGGTAGCCAGAATTGTAAATTAATATAGTATGAGGCATGATTTCTGTACACATAAGCTTTCAGAGAGTGTCGTAGTTGGAGAAGCTAGACACATATATGACTAGATTAGCAAATAATAGTTTGTTACACACACATGCATGCTCATACACGGAACACATAGTCTGTGCATATAATATATAATGAAATGCTAATCATGATGTTATGAACAAGAGAAAGTAAAACTCAGAGGAAGAAAGATTATTATGTATTAGGACCAACCAACCATTTGGGTATTCTTGAAGAAGGGACTTGAGTTGTGGGCAGGTCAGGTTGGCAGGAAGTAGATTTCTGTTTTAGCATAAAAAGGAGCATGAACACTTTGGGTGTGTGGTGGTGGGGGAGGGTAGAGTGTTCAATTATAAAAGAGACTAGACTAGAAATTTTCCCTGACAGTAAAGAAAATGTAAGACAGGCAGAGGACAGCAATGTTTTGGAAAGCCTTGAAAGCCAGGCTTCTTCAGCTACAAGGAGGTATGCTCACTTAATGTTTCCTGTTTCTTCTTAGGCTGATAATGACAATAAGATGACAAGATCAGCATGACAGTTAGCTTATGATTTTGCATCCACAGAATCAATTTACCTTCAAAGAGGCCTGAGACATTGTGTATTTCAAGTAGCCAGCCACTGTCGAGTCCTTTCTGTGTTCTTCTTGGGCCCTCTAGGGCTGGAGCACTCCCCACCTCCTATGGGAGGTGGTTCCTTTGTGGAACATCTCCTAATGCCAGAAAGTTATTTGCTCTTCACTGAGTAATAAGTCTACCTCTTTGCTACTTTGTAGGCTAGTTTTTGTCCTTTTCTTTGGTCTCTCCTAGAACAAATCTTTCCCTTATTTATGAGGGCAATCATTCGAGCCTCTAAAGACAATTGTATTCATACCTTTCTCCACCACCTTCCTCCCACACATCCACTCTCACTATATCTATCCCCTCTAGAATGGGTGACATAGGTTTTCCATTTGTTTTTCCTCTCGTTCACTCATTCCATGTGTTCAGGAGGTACTCATTGAGTGCCTCCTATGTTGCAGCATAGTGTAGCCTCTGGAGCTAGCTATGGCAGTAAAAATTCCTGCCCTCCTAAAGTTTACATTCTAGTGACAGAAGTTAGGCAAATAATCAGTAAACAAATAAATGAATATAAAATAGTGATAAATGCCTTAGAACAAAGAAAAGTAGGGAAAGAGGTAGGGAGTTTTAGAGGATGGGATTTAATAATTTTAAATACAGTGCCACAGGAAACCCTACTTCAATAGTTTAAAAAAAAAACAAAACCCAAGTAGGTGAGGGAGCAAGCTGTGCAGATACCTGAGAGAAGTGGGCAGAACAAACAGCAAGTGCATAGGTCTTGAGGAAAGATTGTGCCTGGTTTGTTTAAGAAGCAGACAGAGCACATGGTGACAGAAACAAAGGAGGATGAGAAGATGGGAGGATTACTAGATGTTAGAGAGTAACAGGGAGCCGAACTTAGAAAAGACTTGTAGGTTGCTGTGAAGTCTTTGAATTTGACCCTGAGTGAGACAGAAAAACATTGAAGCTTTATAAACAGACAAGTACTGTACTATGACTTAGCTTTTGAGAGCATCACTCTATCCACTGTATGAGACTTGCCTGAAGGGAGAGTGGCCTGCAACTCTAACCATATTAGAGTTGATAGTGGCTTGGGCCAGGTGTGGAGGGGTGGCGGTGTAGGAAGTGGATAGATGTTGGATATATCCCTGAGAGACAAGCAATAGGATTTGTTGATGGATTGAATATTGGACTTAAAAGAAATGTGGTTGCAAAAGATTGGCCTGAGCAACTGGGAAGATAAAGTAATCATTACCTGAGAAATCAGGATGACCGTGGCAAGAGTAGCTATGTGGGAGAATAGTCACAAGTTCAGTTTTGCATCTATTTGTTAGAGCTGGTATTTGGCATAAAACAGTTATATTATGAACCTGGAATTCAGGTACATATTAGAAATATAATTTTGGGGGTTATCAGCACATAGATAATATTTAAAGCCATAGAAGTGGACAAAATCAACACAGGAATAAATTTAGACAGAAGAGAAGATAGGCACAGAATGAACCTTTGGGTATTTAAGTACTTAGATTTCAGAGAGAAGGGAACAGATTTCAGAGGGAAGGAAACAGTAAGGGACTTGGAGGAACATGTAATGAGATAGCAAGAAGTTGGAGGGTGCAGTATTTTAGAAGAGAAGGAAATAAAGTGTTTCAGCAAGGAGCAAAATGATCAACTGCATCAAATGCTGCTCATGGCATAGGTCAAGTAAGATGATGACCAAGAACTGACTTTGGAACTTAACAGTAAGGAGATCATTGGTGGCCAGATCATAAGCTATGTTGTAGTGCTGAAAGTGATTGAAATGGACTTGAAGAAGAATTAAAAAGAATAAATGCAGACAGGCAGCCTTTCAAAGACTTTTGCTTAAGGAGATCAGAAAAGTGGAACAATAGCTAGAGGGGGATGTGAGCCAAAAAGAGTTATTTTTTGTAGGAGCAATTATAGCCCCTTTGGTGAGAATGATACAGGAGAGGAGACATTGATGATATAGACAGAAGAAATGATTGCTGGAGATACCTTTAACAAGAATGGATCATTTGAGTGGACAAGTAGAAGACTCAGCCTTATGTTGGGTTATGAATGGATTCAAAGTAGAAGGTGGGCCCAGGATACGAGCTCAGATACAGCAGGTGAGTTGATGTGTTTGTGGAACCTTGTGAAAATCTTCCTCTGACTGTTGCATATTTCTCCATGAAATAAAAAGACAGCTAAGAGTAATAAAATGGAAAAGAAGACATTGGACATTTCAAGAGTTGAGAAAGTATGAATCATTATGTTAGGGAATAGAAGTGGGATAGAAGAATGTGCAATATAATGGTTGCACAGCACTAGGGACTGATTTGAAGTTCATTCTCATTAGCTCAGAGAGTAGTAAGCATGGTAGTGTGCTTTCTCCAGCTAAGTTCATCTGTGTGACTGAACAGAGTAGGCATAGAGTTGTGTTTATCTGAAATTAGAGTTTTGCCAGGTAAGAAAGTGAAGAGTATCTGTGAGAGAATGAGTAACCACAGAATTTATGCTGACTGAAGAGATCCCTGAGGGCCCAGGTAAGTGAAGGCAGTGAGTGTAGGTTGAAAGATCAAGAAATTATACGTCCTTATGGGGTGAGAGAATCATTGATCCCCTCTTAGGGTGGAAGAATCATTGAGGGATAAAACTAGAAAGACAAGGTATGGTACTCAGAGAGTAGAATGTTTAAAAGCAGACAAGCAAGGGATAATGGTTGGAAATGATAAGGCTAGCTGTATGCAAGAGTGTCGGCAATTAAGATGGAGATGGGCTCAGAGGATCACAGTATACAGGGAGGTCAAGGAACTGAGATGTGTAGCAAGGTGGTGGAATGATCATCTTATGAAGAGTGAATTCACCCAGAAGGATGGCAGAGGTGACATTGGAGAAGGCAACAATGAGCTGAGAGCTGACATCATTAAGCAACCAGGGAGAATGCCCAGGTACCGAGAAGTTAATGATGCTAGTGTGTGACACAGTCTAGTGACATGACCTTCAAAGATGAGTTCTTTTAGGATGGAGCATAAAAAGTAACTTGGAAGAGCAATCAGAGGCTAGAAAGTAGCCAACCCTAGTTCCAAGTCCATTGTTACTATGAGAAGTGGAAAGCAAACAGACAACTCTTAAGAGGCTGAGGTGGAGCAGTGTCTTAAAGAGAGAGCCAGGTTTCAGTTGGAGCAAGAAGATGTGGCATGGAGCCCTGGAATCTGAGTTCCAGAGGCACATGGATGATTTCAGGAACTGGAGAAAGAAGGGAGTTAGGACTAGAAAAAGGTTTTACAGGACCAAATGTTAGCCTTTCAGGAATTTTTCTTTTGAGTCATTTTTCAGAGAAAATAACACTTTCCCAACTTGATGCCCTTCTCTGCACATGCTGGGCCAGAGAGAAGTCTCTGCAGGTCATGCAGGACCCAGAATATTGTCCTACAGTCTGTTGTTGCCACTGATTCCAAATGGCTCCTTTGAGGCAGTGCGCACAGTCAGTCCAGATCACTGCTTTGTGATCTCCTTGGTGTCCTCCAAGACCCGGAGTATGCTTGCTGTCTGTGAAGTTTACACCAAGTAATCTCTGGGGAAAAGGAAAGGGAATTAGCACTGCTTCCTATTCTGTTACATGTATGTTCTTACCTAATCTAATTGAAAACCTATCAGGTAAGTATGATTGTTCTAAATTCTGAAGCTTAGGTTAGGAGGGAGGATGTTGGTGATGATAAGTAGCCTGCCCAGTGCCACATAACCAATAACTGGTGGAGCTGGGATTTAAACCTAAGTCTGGCTCTGGACCCTGCCATCTCTTCCCTGTATCACATAAACTTCTTCCTAGAAAAGCTCTTCCTGAAGCAAAAACTATCTGTTACAGGAATAACTTCTCACTCTAGCATTCCCGTGCAATCCAAAATAGTTGTTGGTGACTGTAGTACTCTGTGGAGCTGCGCTACCATCGTTTTCTCCATGTGAGGAATAGCCTCTGGGGTGGGACCATTGCCATTTTAGACTTCAGACATGACTGAGGGCTTAAAACAGACAATTCTTTTCACCACCAGAGTGTAGGGTTTTTTTTTTTTAATCATATGTGCCAGAAAGTAAGAGTACAGATGCTTTATTTACTTGTTTAATTTTCGCCTTTCATTGCCAACTTAATGTCCAAACAATTTAAATATCTGGAGCCCAGCTTAGAAGATTTTGATTCTGATTTAAATTTGTTTTTTTCTGATGGTTTGAACTTGCCTTTCTCACCCCAAACTTGGTATCTAATAGAGGATTTGTGACACAGGGAAGATTTCAACTCCTGGCCGTGCGACTTACGTAGCCTTGCACAAACAACTTAAACTCTCTGAACCTTAATTGATTACTTCATCTGTAAAACTAGGAAAATGATATGCTTAGGCTTATTGAAGGATAAAATAAGATAAAGTGAAAGCACCTGAGTATAGTCCTAGCACATAAGAAGAGCTCAGTTTAATTTACTTAGTAGACATGTAGCTATAGAATTTTAATTTTAAAATGCCTCAAAAATAAACTTATTCTTTGTGAAAAGAAACTGTCCTTTATGAAAAGAAAATGTACCATTTAATAGTTGGGTTGACCTGCAAAGTTTACATTGGCTTGCCAAATTGGGAAATCTGTAAAGTGGGTTGATATTGCAGTAAAAGTAAAAATTTTGTAAAAGCTTTTACAACTACATTTGTAATATAATTAAGTAAAAATATTTCTATTGCAATTATGAAAGCTCAGTTGTAAATTTAATGATGCATTCACTACCTTGAGCAAGTTAGCATAAAATTTAATTTGTATTAATTTACTCAAAACTTAGGAAACAAGAAATATACTCTTGTTAGAATTTGATTCAATGACAGGGAAACCAGTCTTTTCTAAGATGTTCCTATGCATAGATTTAGATTCCTCTGTCATCTATGTGGTGACTTCAGGCAATCAAAGCTCAATATAAGAGTCATAGAAATTGTATCACTGTCAGGTGCTTAATGTTGCCTGGGTGCTGATGGGCTCTGGAGAAGTCAGGACCTTTGAGATATAGCAAGTTCAGTAGGTCTGTATATTGAACATAGGTAATGGAAAGAATGATAGAATTCGAATCAAGTGACAAGATAGATTCAAATTCTGGCTTTACTTGTATTGAGTGCAGGGCCTGAAGTGAAACCTTACATTCTTCATCTTAAAAAATATATATTTATATTACACTTACATATAATATAAATATATGTGGACCTCATTCAATTAACCTGGCACCCTACAGTTATTATTCACCCTGAAGAACATATGTAGAGGTATTATCTAAAGATAATTCCCCTCTGTTTCATTCTGTTTTTTGATTCTATACAGGCAACAGCCTCAGATTCCAATCACCACAGGAACAGGTGTTGTGTATCCTGGTGCTATTACTATGGCAACTACCACACCATCACCTCAGATGACATCTGACTGCTCTAGCACCTCTGCCAGCCCGGAGCCCAGCCTCCCTGTCATCCAGAGCACTTACGGAATGAAGACAGACGGTGGAAGCCTCACTGGAACCGAAATGATGAACGGAGAGGATGAAATGGAAATGTACGACGACTATGAAGACGATCCCAAATCAGACTATAGCAGTGAAAACGAAGCCCCGGAGGCTGTTAGTGCCAACTGAGGAGTTTTGTTTGCTGAATTAAAATACTCTGACATTTCACCCCCCTCCCCAACAACAAGTTCTTAAAGAGCCCGCATGCATTTGTGGCTCCACAATTACATCAGCAGAATGGTCTTAATTGTTTCGTAAAGTGTGAGACAGATTTCAGTTTTCCCTGATTTTTCATGAACTTGAGTTTTTTTGTCATTATTGTTATTGTTGTTGTTGTTTTTTAATTTAGGTGAAGACATATTAAATATGAGACACCAGGACTTGAAAACTTATCTCAACCCATAGCTGTCTTACAAGTCTTATATTTTTGTCTTACTTTTTTTTTTCTTTTGGATGTTGATAAAGGTTTAAGTTACTGTTTTAGATGGGGTTAAACATTCTCACTCAGGTATGCTGTGCCAGCCTACAGGTTGTGAATGTGTTTTTATTCTGAATTACTTTAGAAAACAACTGAGGATTTCGTGTTGTGAAACAGGACAAGTCCACGGCTTGTGCAGCTGCATGTAGAGCATATTAAAAAGGCCTCGGAATTCCATTTTTTTTTCACATGTAAAGTTAAACTTTGAATGTGCCAAACTTTTTCATAACTTTTGAATCTTAATATTTTGAAAGTCTTAAAGGAGACACTGCAAAGTCTTAGACAATCTTTGGCATCTTAAAATAAAATAGCAAACCACACCTTTTTTTTTCCAGAAAATGGTAAAGTACTCAGGAATCTGGAGACAAGATATTGTAAGGAATGAACAAGGTTGCCACAGTGCATGTACCCAATTGTGTTTGCCTCTTGTTGTGCCATCAGTGACGTGGTATGACATCCACACACCAGAGCCGTCCCCACACCAGATACTAATGCATGGTCTTCTCTTCCTGAGACCACCTCTCACTACATCCTGTATCCCTTTGCCTTTAACCCTGACATTCAGTCTTAACACATTTTCTCTTAAATAATTTATTCATTCCAGAATGTCAAGGGTCCACTTACTATTTATTTAAAAACAAATTGTTGGTGGCATTAATTTAATAATTCTTGTTTTTCACCTTCTTTCCCTAAAGAGCTTTTTGCCCCTTTTCACCTCCTTCTCTGGCCAGATACAAAAGATGTACATAGTGATTTTATGTCCCCAGAGCATCTGGAAGCATTTCTGAAACAAGGTATATTAAATACCTGTATTATTGTTGTTTTTTTTTTAAGATGAGTATATATCTGGCTGCAGGGCTATGCACTTGGGTCCACAGGTATGCCCTGAGGTCCACTGTGACCTCAAATCTTTGCCAGAATTTCTCCCCCTAATTTAGTTTAATCTGCTTCAGTGGCATTTCCCCTGAATTCCATTCAGCAGCAAAGGTCAACAGTGGTTGACTGCCAGGCAGGACAGTTATGTAGCCAAAACTGAAGCCCAGGGCTTGTGGGCTACGTAGGAGTCTACAGGGAAACTGTCATGGGCTGGTAACTTTACACTCTGCTGCCCTGTCCCAGCTGGTAGGTCCTGGGAATTCTTTGCAAAATCCCCAGATGTAAGAAGCCACATGACAGCCTCAAAGCAAAGGTGGAGGCAAATAGTCATGATACATGGAAGAAAAAGGGGGGATACATTCCCTATACAGCATGTTCCTACTGTTAACTCTGGGCAAATGACAGATTCTGGGGCAGCATACCAGCTCCTCTGGCAGGCTCCCTGTGTCTGTGGCTGCATAGGGGACAAGCCTACATGTAAACAAGATGAATGGCAGTTATGCCTCAAGGAGTGCTCTGGAGATGTGCTGCTGGGCTGGGAGGCAGTGAGGTTCCATTCCCCATATCCTAACTACAGGGAGCTCTAGGGTCCCATTGTGATCTTCCCAAACCAAGGACTGGTTCCCTAGGGGGAGCCTCACTCACCCAGAGTGGTTCAGTGGAGAGTGTCAGTTAATGGGACAGTTCACCTCATGGGACAACCCAGAACCTGATCGCCAGGACATAGGAACGGCCCCATCAGATTTCTTGAGCCATTTTGTCACTTGGGAGAAAATTGTATACCTTCATATTTATTTAAAGAGTGCTCCAGGCCATACCTAATAGCAATAAGTAGGTCTAGCCAAAATGTCACCAGCTGTGTCATTAGCTGAGAGTGCTCTCTATAAGCTGTTTAAGGTACTGATAGGAATGTTTTGTTCTTAATATTGGTTGGGGATTGGAACTTTGTTCTTATACATTTATTTCAAATGAGGAGGAGGTTATTTTTCTCAAAAAATGAGTATTTATTATGTCTTACTGATTTCTTTGATTATGTACCTCTCCTCCTCAGTTCAGTCTCATGTTGTTTCTCTTTCTCTTTGGCTTTGGCTTTTGCTCTCTTGCTTCTTTTTATTGTGTTGCATAGGTAGAGTGTTGTATGGCTAGCATTGTAGTGTATGTAATTAATTTTGCACAAGGGCGAACCTTTAGCATAGTAGGTTAATTTTGTTTGTTTTTATGACCATGCCAAAATAATATTCTGGGCTGTTGGAGAACAAAGGACTGTTCTTTGGGACTGAAACTTGATTTTGCTTGTAGTAAGAAAAAAAAACAAAAAACACACACTCACAGATGTTGTTTCGTAAGTGTTATAATCACTGGATATAAATGGTATTTTTTATCACTTCTGACTAATGTGAAACTGTTGTACGAAAACTACACGAACAAAAGTCATCTGTTTCGACTCGTGTGGGCTTGCCTCACAGTTGCCGGATTTGAGTCATTTTTATGTCTTGTTATTTCATTTATTTATGCAAAATACATATGTGTATGAACACTTTGTTTTAGCTCCAGCTCTGCCTCAGTACTGGGGTTTAGTAACTCGTAGCCATGTTCTTAAAAATGAATGGCTATTCAGGAACGATCTGATTGTAAACGTCTTTCATTGGCTCAGATAGTAATGCTGTATTTGAATCTAAATTTTGTGCATACCCAGTTTATTTTATTTATTAGCCAAGTTTGGCTCTAAATATCCATGGAAATTAAGAATGACAATCATAGGGATCACTTCATTTTGTTTTCAGTGGGGCTTAAACAAAGTTTTTATGACTTTCCCATCTCATTTTAGATTTTTCTAATTGTGTAAATATAACATAGAAATAGAATTTATTTTTGGTTCACAAATAGTGAGTTATAAGTTATGTATTTCCTTTTTGTTTTCTATCCTTATGTGTTGGTACAAACTAAAAGTTGACAAGTCACTGCACTTGCTGGGGATGGTGAATCATCAGCTATGATGAGAGCGGCATTCGCCCTGCAGCTGGGACAGCAAAATCCTTTCTTTGGGCTCCCATGCAGCATAGAACCCACTGTACACAGATCCAGGCTTTTCCCTTTTTCTCTTCTAAAAAGCTGATGAGTTGAACATAGTAAATTTCCAGTACAGCTGAGAGAGTCAATTTGCTTTGAGAATTCACATAAATCTCCTAAGATGGTTCTGTGACCATTTAATAGCAAGAAGCATGAATGCCATTTTAAAGGAAAACATTCACCTCTGAGATTGGCCATTAATAAAAGTCCCACCATGCCAGTTACAATAAAAAGTGTTAAGTAACCTTTCTTCAGCACTATTTCATAGTATCTTCAAATCAGAGATAAAAATTTTATCAGAGATAGAAATTATTCACTTCATTCAAGAATTTACAGGATCAGGGTTTTCTTTGTCACTTAGAATGGGCACATTGGTAGATAATCCTCTCCTTAAAAAAATAAATATGGGCCGTATGGAACAGGAAAGCGAAGGAAGGAAGGAGAGAAGGGGGAGAGAAAGGAAAGGTTCATCTGCGGACATTGGCATCTGGGCCAGCAGTTTCTCTGCTTCACTGGCAGATTCCAGCCAGTGTCCTTTGCAAGGAGGTAGGGAAGCTTTGTTGTTTTCCTGAGGACCAGCTCACCCTTTCAGGAGCACATCAACTTGCTTCATATGGTATCTGATACTCTTCAGCCTTGTCCTCAGGCCTGATTTGATTTGCCAGGGTCCTGACACCAACTCCCAAGCCAAGTTCTAAATTCAGGTGTGGGCTCACAGTGCTGTTGAGCTCGTCAAATTCTGGCCTCTCCTGGACATTAGCCCCACAGGACCCAGGGGTTTGAAAAGGGTGTGATCACCCTAGGGCTGAAATTAAAGGCTGCTTTCTTTGCCCTGTGAAGCCAGGCTGCTTTGAAGCACACCCTCCTGAGCCACAAGCACAGGCACAAACTGAAAGCGGGGATTGTTTGGGGAAAGCCCATCTCCCCTCAGTAGGAAGGCAGCCTGGTCATCTGAACAACACAGCTGAAGCTGCTGCTTTCCATCTACTCATTTGCAGAGAATTGACCTCTACCAACTCATTAGGGAAAGAAAAACAAATCACTTTGTAGTTTTAAACCACGAGAGAAGTCCTGTGCCAAGTGCCAACAACTGCAAAGAAATGCAGCTAGAGGAATGTATTGAAATTATTACTGGGTCTTCCATTTTAACGAGAAAGTGACAAAAATGGTTGCTTTAGCCTTGCCTGATGATGTACACGTTTGTCCAAGGATTGAGTTGGCACTTAAGCTCACTTCTTGAAGTATAATAATATCATATGACCTCATTTGTCCTTTTACAAAGCACTTGCATCATTTCCTTAAGTCGTCTACCCCTGACATGTTTTATTGCTCAATAAACAACTTCTGTCTGTTATTCCTGCCAATCACGCTCAGTTTCTGTTACCATTTACTATCGAACATGCCCCTGTACTTATATCATTGAAAATATTGATATGCAAACACATTTCCTTTTCATCCCCATCCCATTTTGTTCTTTGGGGACAGATTGCTTTCTAAAAGCTCGTGAACAAGAATTTGGAATGCTGGCACCTTTAGGGCAGAGGTAGGGTAGGGTAGGGTAGGGATGGACAGATAGTGCTCCCTGCAGGTACTCTGTTACTCCGAGTTCTTGGCAATAGGAATGCTTGAAGGCAACTCAGTGACATATCTTGCTCAGCAGTTTCTTATTCCTGAAGAACCACAGCATAAAGTGAGGCCTCAGTGCTGGTGCTCTTGGAGTATGGGGAATGTGCAAATATTTAACTGTTTTGTATGCTGCACATTGCAGGTCTGCTCATGTGCATTCTCCATTTGTCTTCCTTTGTCATACGTGTTTTTGCTTTTCTGAAAGTGCAGTCTATTGTACCCTTCTCCAGCTTGTAGCAAATTAGAATGCTTAGCATTTATGTTCATTCATTATTGTATTTGCCATGTAAAATTTTTATTATCTTAGACAAGCTTATAAGCTGTTACTACATAACTTATCTTACTGTAACTCTTTTATTTCCTGACATTGTAATTTGTTTGTGATGTATATTGTGAGATTGTATTCTATGTTAATTTAATCAGCACAATTCACTGACATGCTGGACTGACATGCTGGCTGCTGTTTCGAAGTGTAAAGTTTGTGTAGGGCTGTTGGGACAACTATAACTCTGTTGTCAAGGTACTGTGCTTTGGTTCCTATAGCAACACTGTGGGTGTGGCCCTTGAGATTCTAGGGACATTTAATACACCCTCAATCAAATTTTAACTGCAGATTTTCTTTGTAGAAATTCTATGTATAACGCAGGTACCTACTTGGCCCATGGCTGGTAACTATTTGGGCAATTAGAAAAAAAAAACATAAAAACTAGTGTCTATTGCTGCTTTGAATATGTTTGAAAGTCTGAAAATGTAAATAGTTTATCAAAAAAAATCTTGTACAGTCCAGTGTAAAGTTTTTAAATGACCTTAAGGGTTGCCATCACATCTTTCTTACACTCTCCTCTTGGTAATGAAAAAAAAAGTTTGCTAAGGATTAAAGAAATGGAAAAAAAAAGAGGGAATCACTTCAAATTTAAAGGAATGGATCATTGTTCTTAGCTTCATTGCATACACAAACCTCTTGGATTTTGTTGTGCAGTATTGATGTGAGATAAAACTCAGCATCAAATAATCTTTCAGTGGTACTTTTCCAAGTCTTCCCCTCCTCTGCCTCATAATTAAGGGAAAAGACAAAAGTGAAAGACGCACTGTCTTTGTCTATCCTGGTGTATGTTGGCACCTTAGCTACTTTTTTTTTCCTTTTTGCACAAGGTGCTTTCCTGATATGTTCGACATGCCATCCTTGGGTGATAATGTGTATGCCATGATGGGGCGCAGGCCCGCAGGGGAGTGTCTATAAGAACTGCCTATTTATGCTCATTTACCTCAAGACTGTCCTCTCTACCCTAATCTAGTTGTCATCACTCCATCTTTTGTACTGCTGTTGACACTTACCAATTAAAGATAAATTTTGTTTTATGACCTCTGTGTTATGCCTCGTCTGTGCCCTGCAAACTCTTCCCTCATGGAGTCCAGTAAACGTGGGTTTGCCACTGCCTGCCTCTGGAGCTGGTGGAACTCCCCGATCCCCGCCATGGCTCCTGCCTGCTGGAGCCTGAACCCTGTAGTCTGGGAAGACTTGCCTGCTTTCTTCATTGTGGAGCAAATGCTGCTGCAGCAGCAGGAAATGCTTGTGGATTTAGATGGCAGGAACAGGAGCCAAGGTGGATTTTTCTCAAGAGAAGATGAGAGAGAATGTCACTGCCTATTTGCCTGACTTCTTCATGAGAGCAAAACAGTTTACAAAAGCGCAGAGCCTCTCTGGCTGGGATTCCGCCTGTCGCCTGACATGGACTCCTGCACGCCTTGAAGCCATGGATGATAAGTTGCACCTGGAGTAAAACTCCAAGGATTTTGCTTCTAAGGTGTTTCCAGAGCCACTTCCTGTGCTCCAGTCTGAGGGTGGATGTGGGGCAGTGGGCTGAAGAGAGCAGGGCCCTTAAATAAGACCTGTGGAACCAGCCACACCAGTACTTCAGATGTCCTGTTAGCAGTCAGTCCCCACTTGCAGAGTGACACAGAACTGAGGAGAGGGGGGCTCAGCTGGTAGTGTCTTCTTTTGGTATTTCTTGTGATAAAAGGCCTCATTAGAGAAAAACCAGTTTGACACAAGAGGCTCTAAATTTGGAAAACTCAAGACCCTCCCTTCCTGCTCCACGGTGCTCCAGGTGAGCATAGAGCATAAGAAACACAACCTAGTGTGGACTTTGGAGTCACTGGCCTGGCTCTGTCACTGACCAGCTGTGTGACCTTCCCAAAGCAACTCCTCTGCACCAGACTGTGCCCCTCTGTAAGATGGGACAGTAACCCCTGCCTGTCGGGGTATTAGGGGATGACAAGCAATGGCAGGTGTAAAATGCGCAGCCGCAGGCCTACTCATCATTTTGCCTGGAATGAATCTGTCCCTTCTCTGGGACACTCCCACTTGGCTTTTAAATGTCACCCAAATATCACCAGTTTCTGAGGCCTTCCGAAGCCCACCAGTTTCCAGCTCTCCCCCAGGGCTCCCAGTTTCTTGGAAAGAACCTCTGTGGTCACGTTTTCCAAATCAGAATGATTTGTTTCTGTCTGTCTTTTCTGTTAGATGAGGAACTACTGCAAGCAAGGGCTGTGCCTCACTTCTCAGGCCCTCAGCGAAGTGCTTGGCTCATAGTAAGTGCTCAGCGTTGGTTTGTGGATGATTATGAGCAGTGGCACATTGGACTCCCCAAGTGGTGCAGATACCTGTGAGTATCGGGGCCTTAGGTGGTGGGGATGAGGGGCCTGCAGGGTAGCTTGGTGTTACTTCCTCTGGAGAGGAGCATCTCTATTCACACTGGGGAAGCCATTTCAAGTTGGTGTGAGAGGGATGAGGGCACTGAGAGTCTGTGCTTTTAGGAGGCCTCACATGCTGGACACCAGCATCCCTGAGCCTAGAGCCCCTCCTCCTTCCTTCCTTCTGGCATCCTGGCTAGAATATGGAATGGTCAGAGCAAAAATAGGAAGCTTTTCTGGATTTGCTTTATCCTTTCCTTGACATCTCAGGTAGCCAAGATTATCCTTCACTCTGCTCAGAGACAAGGGGTACAAGGAGGCTTCTGTCAAGGAAAGGGAGGGAAGCCAGCTGCCTCTGATTGCAGTGAAGGAGCCTAGGGGCCTAGGAAGCTGCACTGTGAGCAGCAGTTCACTTAGAATCCTCTCCTTCCTTTTGGGCAAAGACACAGTCCAGGTAATGACTTTTCCCTTCATAAAGGTGCTCTAGAGCCTTGCTTGCTCAAAATGTGATCTGCAAGTCAATGTCATTGGAAACCACTTAAAGTACTACATTGGCCATGTGAGTGAGTGTCAGGACATGAGACTCTGGTCACCTTCTCTACCTCCTCTTAGCATGGCATGGTATGAGTAGGTGAAGGATCATTGTCCTCATTTGAATTGTGAAGGCCCAGAGATAGGACATAGCCCATCCAAAGTCACACAGATGTTAATTGACACTACCAGGATGCACACTTATGTCTTCTAATTCCAAAAGCAGAATCAACTATGCTGCATATAGTTCCACAATAGCCCTTGAAAATTACACATCACCAGGCCAGCCCTGGATCTACATCTCCATTGTCACTAGCTGTCCTGGGCTCTGTCACTGTGGGACCCCCAGGGCATCTGGGGCAGTGGCCTCTGACAGCTATGGCACTGCCATTGCTTGCTCAGGTTCTGCTCAGGGCCTGTCCCTGACTGTGATTCCCTCCACTGTGAGTTCTGTGCTCCGAGTACTGTGGCATAATGACAGTTTTCCAAAAACAATCATTTATTATCCAGAGCACAAACTCTATGGGTTCACAAGTTCAAATAGGGTACAGCAGGAGCTTCTCCCACTGCTGCTCCGTGATGCCTGGGACCTCAGCTAGACAACTCACTGGAATACACTGGCTGGAATATACCAGAGGCTCATTTCTGTCATGTATGGCAGTTGACAGCAGCTGTTGGCTGGGACCTTGCTGGGGCTGTTTCCTGGAACACCTCAATGTGGCCAGGGACATCTTACAACATGGCCTGGTGAGCAGCCTGGGAGAAAGGGCTTGGTCATGTCCTCTTTTATAGCCTGGCCTGGAAAGCATGGGGCACCTCTTTCATGGCACACTTTTCATTGACACAGACTCTATACCCAATTGGAGAGAAGAGGGAGCCAATTCCACCTCTTGATTGGAGAGAGATCATAAGGGGCTGGCTGTGTTGCAGTGGCCACACTTGGAAAGGAGACTCTGCAGCACTCTGGTGTCTGTTTATGCTGACCCTGGAGCCTACCCCAACTCCATCCCCATTTTCACTGGGCCCTGCCTGGGGCAGTGTTGGTATATGTACATGGTATTTATCTGCATGTTCTAACCTGATAAGATGAAGCCCTGGTCCATTCTTGCCCACACGGTGGTGTTAGCAGGTTCCAGAGGTCCCTGGAGAGGCCAACTGTTTTAAGAAGCTTGAGGGTGCACCAGGGCACCGAGGAACACATAGTGAGTGAGTGGCATGCATTACAGGCATGGCCTGGGTGAAAAGTTTGTCTTTATTTCCCCTCCCCAGAAGCAGTCCAGTAACTTCTGGAAATGTTCAACCCACTCAACTCCAGTAAGCATATGGACAGATACTACATTGCCTGAGTCAGCCAGGATATTTGCAATAGAATTTCACCAATATTTACTTCTATAGAACCCTGTCAAAGAAACTAATGGTGTCATTAATCAGAAAAATACCAGTCTGCCCTCCTCTTTGGCAATATACTACCTGAATTGATATTTCTGTCAACATGACTATCATCAGTACAACAACAGATGTTTTAAAATGGCAGCAATCGGTATTAGGAGCTATAAAGTACATACAAAAATTATTCAGCATGTTTTTCAGGCTCAGAAAATAATAATCTGATGTTCTAACAGTCCTTGTCGTGACCTATATCATCAGCTAGACCCAAAGGGTTATATTGAGAAAAGCAATGTCAACCTTAACACAATCTATTAAGTTTCTGATTTTGGATTAATGTTAATCAGCTAATAGATATTATCATACACACCTAAACTCATCTAGAGAAGCAAGGACAATTAGTAATTCTTTTATTTGAATTTTGATTATAACTCTATTTTAAAGTGCTCATCTTAATTTTAGTAAAAACTCAATATTTCCATTATAAGTGTTATTATAGGAAAAGGACAAGTGAGCCGGGATCTTTTTTGTGAAATGCCAAGTATAGAACTTAGATATATTTTGGAAATGAAAGAAGCACTGCTGGCATTAATAAATAACACAGGCAGGTAGGAAAATTAGACCAAAAAAAAGAATAAAAAACCAAAGAAATATGTGATCATGCAGAAGAAAAATCAAAATATTGTTCCATGTATAAGCCAATTGTTTTTCCATGATGTTTCATTATACTGCCCTGGTTCATACTTGAGTTATATTTAATTACATGAAGGACTCTTTTTTTTCTCTTTTCTACATGAAGAACTCTTACATCCTACATTTGGATAAAAACCCATATGACATCACTGAAATGAATTTATTGCCATTTTAAAGAAATTAATTCATGTAGACAAGGTACTTTGTGAATATTGGAACTAACACTTGCTAAATGTAGGGGGCACCAGAGAAATAAGAAGGAAATTCCCACATAGCCATCTCTCCACAGGCCTGGGACCTGGGCACTCTGTTTCTCCACCTGCAGAGGTAACGGGACCACAGAGTCCCAAGAAGGCAGGTGGTTGATGTGCTGTGTGTCAGCCGAGCTTGCCTGCCCTGGATAGAGCTATGGAAAAATACAAGTGGCTCTGGACCTTAAACTGTGTCAGATAAGACACACCATGGGATAAATACTGTAGCTATAAATACAGCCCAAGAACCTGGATCATTTTTCAGGCTGTTGAATTTCAAATGCCTGCCAAACTGAGTGTGATATCTGGGACTCTTTATCTTTGCAACTCTGATGTGAGGGGTGGCGAAAGTCCAATTAATTTAAACAAGAAATTCTGGGAAGCGAGGACCACAAGAGTTAAACTGTCCAATCAAAACTTGGAACTGAAGTTAATTTCACAAATTTTAATATGATGTTAGGAGGAAATTAAATTTAACCTGAAATCTTATTCAACTCTACAATAATGATAGACTTAAAAAAATACAGGACTTGCTAAACAAGGTGGACTATTGATTGATTTTTCCACTGCAGTATTGGGGGTCTGAACACTCAGATACATGAATCACTTCCAGTTTTTTCAGTGGCTGTGTGACAGGTGGGTAATTCAGAGTTGAAGACACCTGGGATCCCAGAAATAAAGCAAATACCCACAGAACTTCAGCGAGGTCAAACACAGCAGCATTTAGTTTTTATTGATTATAAATGACTGAAACCCAACTTAAATGGCTTACGCAGCAAAAAGGGATTTAGTGGTTTACCCAACTGA